AACTCCTCCAACAAAGAACCCATTAGTTTTGACACATACCAAGCCCTCTTGCCCCTGTTACAGGCATAGCACCACCTCAGCTATACAGGAGCTATTTGTAGGTATGGAGCTAGATGCTGCATTTGACCCTTGCTAAAGAAGAACAAGTATAACAAGTATTCTGGCTTGTTTTCTTTTTTTTTCTTCCTATAATGGTGTCATTTATCACCATGACACATATTCATTGACTTAGTCTGAAATTTTTCAGTGTCAGATTTGTATTTCTTTTCTTCTTTGAATATCGATGCAGCACTTCTCTTACGTGACTGCACTACATCTACCAAATGGTGTCTAGACGCTAGAGCAGCTTTAACTAATTAGCTTAGTCACTACAGTCATTCAGCTTTGGCATTTACGTACCCTTTATGGTACTGCTGTTGAACCATAAATAGTTGCTTAAACACAAACAGCAATGTAAAGAGATGTGGTAGTGAGTATGTTCAGCCTTCGCTGACGTCACTGAGATGAACGCAGAGGACGGTAGCCCTCACTGCCTGTTTTCACAGTCAGTGAAAGAAGTTGGAAATGACAGTGCATGTGAGTGTGGTCAGCAGGAGATCCAGATCCAGCATCCTTCTTAGGCTGAAGATCACCACTATAATGGCAAAGCTGAGAGAGATTTCTCTCTTTTGTCATTCAGCCTTTGCCAGTGAGCAATTGAAGGTACATACTGCCTGCAACATCATAATTTAGGCTGTACTTTCATATATTGCAACCTGCATTTCTGTGCAGCCAACACTGAGGTTGAGTTGGTGAACTTTAAAGAACAAGAATTGATGAATATCAAAGTGTATTTCAGAATATCAAAGAACTTCTGTGAAACCTTCAGAATTAGATTTTTACTAAATTTATCAATGTTGTCTATGCAACAAGCTGTCCTAATATAAAATTAAATTTTCTCAAACATTTTATGCAGATTAGACTCAATACTGCTATTAGTAAACCTTATTTATAAGCAAAATTCGAAAGTTTTGATTTACTCTTCTGAGTGCTTGAAGAACTAGTATCATAAGGAAAGCAAATTAACTTTGTTTTCTTTGTATTCCTAACTGTTACAAATGCTTTTACTGGCGCTAATACAAAGCCTTAGAGAATAGCAGGTTTGAGATTTTTTTCTCTCTGCAGAGGGAATGTTTGTTGTTTGAGCAGATTTTCTTTGAATTTGCCAATAGGATTATTCTTATTTTTTGTTACCAGTATGCAAACTATTTAAAGTAAGCTTTCCAGAAGATCTGCTGTTCACTTTGAGGAGATTTTCCAGGGCTAAGTTAGAACTCATTTAATTTCTTTTTTTTTTTTCTCTACAAAGAGAAGTATTTTTTTCCTAGGAAGGAGATTTCTGGGTGGTGCTTTTCAGTTTGTTCAGTTTGTTGTGATTCTTTTTTCACACAAGGGAAGGGAAAAATCATTAATGCTGCTCAGTGCAAAGAGGATTTGTGATTCTTACATGGAGAAAGAAATTGTTCCTTTTTGATGCGGCCCTGCTGCATAATATATACCATATAAAAACTGCCTGTCTTTTTATCCAGCCACCTAGTAAATAGGTACATGTATGTCCATTGCACGTGTGAAACCATGGACACTGGAAGGCACACATACTTCCACCTGAGTTTGTCTTCTAGTTGACCAAATGGCTCATTTGGGGGTTAGGCACTTTATCCACAAGTTGCTTCTTGCTGAAAGAACACAAAGTTAATACAAACTGCAATTTTGAATAGGGCTTCTATCATCTGAATGCTTCCTATTAGCATGCCTAAAAGGATTGTCTCTTTTATCCAAATGCTTTTTTATATCCTGTGCGTTACTTTATAATAAATGATTTTGATACTTCTAATTAGGCTAATTTCTCTCTCTAAGTAAATGGCAGTACCACTGTTTTGGTATTACTAATGAGCACTTCCATCAGTGCCCCTCTCCTGGAAATATCTTAGGCTGGATTTTCAGTGAGTGTTAATCAGCACGTCTTTACTGATGGAGATACTTAATGATAGATGGCTGTCTGTCTCTATTTTTATTTGCTGACCTTAGCTTTATCTCCAGTAGAAATGAATCCATTTGAATATCAGGTGTAGCTAACAGCTCAAGAGGGAGAGTAAGTACTTTGGTAGTATGAAGTTTGGATGACTCACCAGAGGGGAGGTGTGTGACAGTGTCCAGTAATGCTTGGACCAGAGCTTTCTGAACTATATTTGGCATATTAAATGTGCAACATTGTCAGATCATTACCTTTTATGACCACAAAAGGTCTTCAGAAATGAACATAGAAATCAAACTGTATGCAAAGGGATCAGCAGAGCAATTTTTAGCCTCCTTCAGGGTTTGCTACAACAAATATATCCTTTGGGCAGATTGAGTAGTAAATGACCGGTGTTATTTCGTATTTATCAGAACTTAAAAACATTTGGGGAAGAGGAGTTTAATAAATGATCTCTGGACCAGTGCTCCTAATAATCTAGGGGAGAATTAGACAATTAAAAATGATGAAATGATTACAATAAGTGTTTTCAAGATTTTCAAGATGCTGACCATGTAATTTCAGTTCCAAAATCACTTAGTTGGAGTTACATAAATACTGAAATTTAAATTTCTAGGAGCTACTTTGTTTTAAAAATATAGAAATACAGGACATACAGCAGACTTGCTCCTTCCACGGCGGCAAAGGTTTTTCATGCTAGATAGATCTAATATGCTGTTTTCTGTCATAAAACAGAAGCTATCAGTAGAATTTATAAAACCTTTAGGAACTGTTGGCCATCTTTGTTCCCAGTTGCTCAGAAGACTGGATCCCAGCTGTATGTATTGACTGAGAGACGAAGTCATCACAATGACTTAGGGTTTCTTGCCTAAACTCTATGTAAGGTGTTACTTAACTCTTCCCATCCCTTGTAATCCATTTCTTCTCAGCCTGTTCCCTGTCAAGTATAGTAAATACTCACCAGCAAAACTGAGACTTTGGGGAAATTATAATGTATACTTACAAGGCATCTTGAAAGACATGCAGAGAACTTGCATTTAAAGGCTGCTGGGTACAGATGTCTATCATAAGGCTAAGTGGTTAAATAAGTGAAGGGAGAGAGTAAAAAACTTACAGATTGGTATGGTTTGAAGGTAACTATGGTTTTGCTGCTGTTGGTAGGTATGGATCTAAAAAGAGGTCATGAGAATAGCTCAGATGAGTTCAGGTACAGTTTGCATACAGTCTATTTATAGGATGCTTCTCAAACTAAGCCTGTGAACCTTTTGAAGTTTGCCCATCACTATTTTCAGGCCAGTTAATGATGTACATCTCTTCACATTCTGAGATAGGTAAAACAATAAAGCAAACTAAGATAATTAGTCTCTGGAGCACATCAAGAAAGACAGTAAATCTGTGCAAACAACTTGTTTCTGCTAACTTTTGTTTTTTTGCTGCAAAACTGAAAAAGACCATTACTATTACAAATCTACGTAATGCTGGAGCAGAGCTGGAAATGCTTTTGTGATACTACCCTGATTTTGAAAGGTTTTGCAAAGATTAAACGCCTTATCCTGAAGCATCACTCTGAGTTGTTTTAAGCAAGAGAACGCTTTCATTCCTTTTCGCAGAGGAGAAAATCAAAGCAAGGAGGTGAAATCATTTTGTTTGTGGAGTCAAAAGTCTAAATGACTTCATAAACTAACAAAAGTCGCTGCTCCAAGAGGCTTACAAGCATCAGCACAGCTGAGGAGAGCAAGTTGCGATGGACAAAAGAGAGACTGTACATTATGCACCTTGCCCTAGCTCAGTGAAGCCTCTCAAATTTTACAGGCCTGGATGGGAGTGTTGTGTAGCCTTTAAAGTACAAATAAACAGAACTGGTTTTGGATGTTAGGAACTTTTCTATTGATTTCCAAAGTTGTAATAACTTGTTAATTGTGGCATAGGTTCAGCCCCTGACTTGAAGCACTTTCCATATGTAAGCAGTGCTCTCCCCCTCTTGGAAATGGGGTAACTGAGGTAAAGGAAGATAACGCTGAAGCAGAACTGAATGCAGAGCACACAATCCCTTCTTCTGAGCCCAGGGCTCAGTGCTGTAGACTTCGGATAAATGCACATTTTACAAGAACAAATAGATTCTCAGTACCATTGCTCCAGGGGGCTGTGCAGATCGTGCCATCTGGATCTGCCTGCAACACCAATTCTGCCAGCTGGTTCTCCAGGCCAGTGCAGAGCAGGGGTAAACCCATTCCCTGGAAACTCAGAGCAGTACTAAAGCAGGTTCTGCCTCAGGTAATGGAGTAAAAGGGCTCTGGAAGCATGATCATACAGTTTTGCGTAATCAGAAAACCAGCAAAATTGTGTTCTATTCCTACACAGAAACAGATTCTGGAGTTAAGGTCCAGGCAAAATGACCACTCGTGATAAAACGTCTCTGTTTTTTTCTTTTTTCTTCTTTTTTCTTCTTTTTCTTCTTTTTTCTTCTTTTTTCTTCTTTTTTCTTCTTTTTTCTTCTTTTTTCTTCTTTTTTCTTCTTTTTTCTTCTTTTTTCTTCTTTTTTCTTCTTTTTTCTTCTTTTTTCTTCTTTTTTCTTCTTTTTTCTTCTTTTTTCTTCTTTTTCCTTTTTCCTTTTTCCTTTTTCCTTTTTCCTTTTTCCTTTTTCCTTTTTCCTTTTTCCTTTTTCCTTTTTCCTTTTTCCTTTTTCCTTTTTCCTTTTTCCTTTTTCTCCTTTTTCCTTTTTCCTTTCCCACAAAAATGCAGAGTATTTCTTTTAGTAAAGGGCATGCATTTCCCTGTCATTTTGTCTCTTTTTGCTGTTTTCTTATACTTCTTTTGTTCTTGCTTCAGAAATGGATTCTGGTAAAAGACCCCCATCAATTGAAATGTGTCCAATGTATATTTAAGTTAAAAAATACTAAGTGCTGTTGAGAAGTGAAAAGACTGCAAAAGGTAAGAATGCCTGCAGGCTTGATTTTTAAAGATATGCTTTTTCTTCATGTTACAGATCTCGCCTTGCAGATTTTTTCACAAACTGCCAGCCTGAGTCACGCTCTGTTAGTAGCTGTCTGAAGGAGAACTACGCTGACTGCCTCCTCGCTTACTCGGGGCTTATTGGTAAGAGTGCAGGGAGCGGTGGGGGCTTGCTTCATCAAAAAATCTACCCAAAGGATATTTTGAAGACCCTTATGAAGCAAAAACAGTAGTACTGTTGATTCTAGGCAAAATTCTCAACTAAATCTGTTGGTCTTGTTTTACCTTACAGGGATCCCTGGGGTAAATTTGTACATTCCAAGGAGATTGAAGATAGAGAATAATGTGCTTGAGTTTGATATAAACAAGTATAAATTAAGGTTACAAAGTAAAATGATGGTTGATTTTGGGCAGGACCATCAAGTAAGAAGCTAAAAAGAGCAGGAAAAAACTACAGCTTGGTTGTTTTTGCAGCTCTCACCTCAAGATTGAGTAAAATACCTCTTAGTCTTTAGAAACAAGACATTTGGACGTTTGAGGAATGTGATAAAAGACCTACCCAGCCTTCTTTCACTTGCAGCTGCTATTTTTTCCACAATCTCCTCCTCTGTGCTCTAAGGGTTTTCTGAGGCGCTAGTCAACGGAGAGGAATTGCGACCAAATTTATCTTCCAAACACTTCTCCTCCAACATTATCTGTTTGCTTACTGTCAATTTCCCAACTGAAAACAGGATGCCTATATGTGAGTCAGATTCCATACCCTGCATGCAGTATTTGATTCCTGAATTGTATCAGGAAGGTGAACTTACAGAAATACCATGGTTGGGCAATAAAGAATAAGTGAATGTCAAAACTCCGAAACAAACAGATTTTTTAAAGGGCACCAGATAAGATTCTTTTAAGCTTACAGCCTGCACCTGCTGCAATGCAGTAATAGCCACTTCTGTTGGGCGTGAAGGTCCCAGCTGAGGCCCTGCAGCAGATTCCGCTGTTAAATAAATCTCTTTTGAAATAATATCTGAAATAAAAAATAAAAAATCGGAAATAGGGTGGATGTTGCTGAAAAATGACTGAAAGCGATGTTCGCTGACTTGTTACCCTTCCTAAAACTCTTAACATTGAGCAAGTGAGGTAAGTCCATAGGGCAGCTGGTAAAATAAAACGCCATAATTTTGGAGGACATGCCTGTGTGTCTTAAGAGATAAAGACAGTATGCAAAGGCTACAGCATATGAACAGTTATGACAGAATGTCATTTGACTCTAAAATATAGGATTGAATAGCTTTGAAATCCGATCCAGTCATTGAGATTAAGAAATCTAGCTGCTGGCAAAGAGTAACTGTTACTAATAGATACTTCTGGGTAAGAGCTGCCAAGAAGTTCTTGCTGGACCTACTGAATCTTGCTGACAGTTTTGTTGGATCCATATTTCAGCTTAAGCTCAGAGATGGCCCAGTTCATACAGAAAGGTGTTTTTGTGTTACTGTTGATGACTGTGCTGCAAAACACTGTCAAACAGGGAAAACGTGGAATGGATCCCTGAGGAAATGAAATCAAAAGGAGATCTGATTTTCAAAGAGAAAAATAAACATTTTTCCTCTTCTTTTTTTTTTTTTTAAATTTTGTCAGCCTCTAGATACAAGCAAATGGATACAAATACAAGCAAATAGACGAGAACTGGCTGTTACAAAAGTTTTTACTTCTCAGAAGTAATTCTGATAAACCAAATATACCAAAGCACATACTGAAGCAGTGAATTCCTGCTTCTGCTATAAAAGTGGATTAAATTACATGAAAACTATCAAATGTTTAAGAAGGTATCTGAGATCAAAATCAGAGGTACACTGTTTCTCCTATCTGCGGATAGAGAGGCCCTGGGTAAGAAGCTGTTGCAAATTCATTAATGTATTAGAGTTCCAGGATGTCCAGGTGTTTTAATTAAGATAAAATGCTATTCATTATGATTTAATATTTTTAAATTTAGCTATTTCATTAGATGTACTAAAAATTGTGCCTCTGCAGATTTTGTTCAGGAAAATTAGGATTCTCTATGGAAGATACAGTGGATGTGATTCTGTTGCCACATACATGGATGTACATCAGTTAACTTCACTGAACTTAGTGCAATTCTGCCTTGAAATAAATGACTTAAGCGTGAAGAGTCAGGCACAATGTTTTTGTGAGCAGCTTTACCAGTTGTATGGAAGTTAGTCCATATAGGGTGCTTTATGGTTTGCATCAGTGTGTCATATATAGTCTTAAAGCTATGTATATTTCACAGCAACTTGGAAAACTTCAGTGAGTCACCTCAGATTTCTTGTTACGGTAATTAAGATAAATTAATATTTTTAAAGAATTACAGAATATAAAGGAAAAAAGATGAAAATTAAATGCAAAATTAGACTGAAGATAGAATCGTAGAATCTAGGTTGGAAAGGTTGGAAATGACCTATAAGATTATCTAGTCCAACCGTCTTCTCATTACCATTGATAGCCATGTTTGAAATTCAGTGCTTTGCTTACAGCCTAGTTAAACCATCTGGACTTGTCTGTGCTTCAGCGTCAGTTGAATACTGCTCTAACTGCTGACTTCAAGCATTCATTTTCTGACACGTTTTCACCAATTTTCAGCAAAATCCATTTCATTTCTCCATTGTTCTCTGGAATTCTGTGGGAGTTTGTACGAATAAGCTGGAGCTGCAGGAGTGGATGCTTGCTTCTGAATCTAGTACATTGTCTTTAGATTGTGGCCAACTGATTTCTGTCATTTGCTAAGATACTTTCTGCCCCCAACATGCAAAAGGAGGTCTGATAACATTCTTATTACTAAAATATTAGCAATTACTGCATTACATGCCCTCCACTGATCTTGGGCAAACTCCTGTTGTTGGTTTTGATTTATTGTGTCACGTGTGAGTCAAAGCAACTTCAATTGCACACCCCGCTCCTGAACCCACCATCCATTTCCTCATCCTTAATTGGCCCCAATTTGAGAAACCTCTTGGCTGTGCTCAGGTCAATTCTGCTTTTTCGTAGAAAATTGAGACAACCCTAAAACTGAGACTGTCACAAAACTATTTGATACAGAGAGCACGCTAAACCAAGCATGTCCTATTTTACTGCCAACCACCGTGGTTTCTCTGATCTGTTAGTGTCCTTCAGCAGAATTTCCAAGATGCCGGCTGGAGGAGAGAGGAGGAGGGAAGGCACGCACGTTGCAGGGAAAAAAGAAAATCCACCCCAGGAAACCAAGCATATCATCCGCTTGGGTTCACATCTGCCCCCAGGTTTAAATGACAGACTGATTTTCTACTAGCTGCTCTTTCAGCCACTCTGTTTTTGCTGGATGTACAGTTTGTGTGCTGCATATACACATTCCTCGTCCTGTCTTTCCAGTATTCATCAACCCTCATCATAGTTTCATATCTCTTCCTCTTTTAGCCCGTCTTGACCATTTAATTAATCTTCATGATTAAAGGTCTTTCCTCAGTGACCTTTTTTACTTCCTCAGTACCTTTCTGTTTTCTGAACCCTTCACTAAGCGTTTGCTACTTATCCTTTTTTTGAGGCCGACTGTTTTCTTTCCATTTGCAAAATCCTCTTGCTTTTTGTTTTCTCTCACTTCTTTTCAGATCATGTCAAGCCCATTCAGGGCTTGAAACAGTGTACTGAACCATCAAACAAATAATAGGTAGATACTTTCACTTGTTCTATTTTAATATAACGTTATTCCTGTTCTTATTTATCTACTGTCAAGTTTTCATTTTAATGGTGCAAATGATATTTGCCTGTTTTACTGAATATACACCTTCATTTAATAGGTTTTGTACTGTTGTATTTACTCATGTGTTAATCTCATGTACGGTTTGAACAATTATTACCACAACTCTTTGTTAAAAGTTGGAAGTAGATAAAGGCGTAGGATTGCATTCTAATTTAAAGACATCCCAAAACAAAACAAAAGATGCTTTTTCTGACTTGGCAGTTGCACTGTGTTCATTTTCATGTACATTACTGCCTTTCTCAGGCCAGTTCTTAATGTCTGTTCTCCTTTGTCTCCCACATCATGTATGAATTAGTTTGCATGCTGATTTGTTCAGTTCCCAGCACTGCCCAGTGACTGAAAGGCCATTTCACGTCGTTCTGTGATTTGTGTTATTTCTAATGTTACTTTTTTTAGCCTGGTATTTGATAGCCATTTCCTGTGTGCTATTACAGACTTTTGGACCCTGGACCTGTGGACCAAATTTTTTCTGCAAGTGTACACATCAAGTATCTAATATTTATCCTTCATCTATTACATCGTCTTAATGACTTCTTTGATGTCAGTTTTGAGCAGCTGTGACCACATGTCCTCATGATTTATAGCCCGTCCTAGATCTGTAGATTGCACAGCAAAGGACTTGTTTCCTGAAACTGCTGTAATCAGTACAAGTCTGGAACACCAGCCCCATTTTATTTAATTTTTCCTGTTTGGTGAAACAAAATAAAATAAAGATTCAGACTTCCCAATCCTTAGGGAAATTTGAAATCCCTGACATACTGAGGTGATGTCTTCAGTGAGACTCGTAGTTAAGAATAAGTGCTGATCTTACAACAGTTGCCTTATCCAGATGAGTGGTGAATATTTCCTGTATAACTTTTAGGACATATAACACATTCTTTGGTTTCATGTGATTCTTGCTAGCCTTGAGCTGACATAAAAATATGAGAACATTTATTCAAGGATTTGTAAGAGTGTTGGAATTAACCTGTGGTTAACCTGTTTAGTTTATTACCCATAAAGAATCTACTGTGTCCTTTTATGCATGTTGGTTATGTTTTTGCTTTGTCCATTGCTGTAGCCCACTCTGCTGGCAGGTCCCCCAGGAGCATCGTGAGGTTACCACTCCTTCAAGATGTATTAGCTTTCAGCATGACCATCATTCTCCTTGCTTGTGACTTTCAGAACTGTTTTCTCAGGATGACTGCAGACTTGGGGAGGTAGCTCAGGTCTGGATGTCTAGTGTGAGCCATTATTTGCAGCCAGAGGGGAAATGATAGAAACTATAAGCAAGGAAAAAGATTGGATATTTAGCGTGTAAATCTACACATATTTGATTTGGCAGCAAAAGCTTTTTAAGAGGCTCCCACCTTCTTCTCCATCCCTGTGCCACAATTCTTCACCTGTCAGTTCTGCTGATGCAGCTCTCTGTGGTGTTGCAGTACAAACCTTTTTGAAGGAAGGGAATGGGTCTTTACTGTGTGAACCATTTTACAATCCCGGTTGCATTCAAACAACCAGGGGTGTGAAATCTGGCACAGGACTGGTGAGCAAAGGGAGCCAGGAACTCTTTAAGTCCGGAAGCTGAAGACTTATAGACTTACCATGGATCTGCATTCTGATTATATAGCTTAGAAAATGTTGTTAGTCTTCTTCCAAGGGAAAAATATTTCAGTATGTAGGGTTCTCACAGTACTTTACTCCTCTGTTCTTTAATAGGCACAGTGATGACACCAAACTACATAGACTCAAGTAGTCTCAGCGTTGCCCCATGGTGTGACTGCAGCAACAGTGGTAATGACATAGATGAATGCCGGAAATTTCTGAACTTCTTCCAGGACAACACATGCCTTAGTAAGTACAAAATTAAAATATGTCGTTAAGGAAGCTTTAGCATTTTTTTGTGGAGTTCCTTTGTTGTTTGAGTATGTTGTGATACATGAAGTCCATCTCTTTGCACACTGTAAGCATGGTTCTGCTGTAGGCATAAGAGCTAGAATGGAACAAACTTCAGCAAAGAAATATTCCTGGTACTACAGCTTATGGGCAAGATTGTAAGTGCAAGAAGCAGTTGGAAAAAAGTTCAAATAACTGAAGTGTATCATGTAGAAATATGTTTACGTATTTGGACCCTGGCAATCAGGGAGCATCTGTGCAAGATATTACAGCAGATCAGGGCCTTGTGTATAATTTAAGAACTTTGTGTTAAAAAAACAACGGCGTGTATTTATGAAGGATCTGCTGTAGGTTAAGTATAAATTGGATTGTGTTTGCAGTTTGTGGCTATGCTTTGGGGTTTTAGGTTACTTGCTCTCAAATGTCTGGTTTTAACACAAGCCTGGATGGTACCTTTCAAGATTTTGTTGAATTATTGATTTTTTTTTCAGTCCTGCTCACTCCCAAATTAGGGACTGTTATAAATTTCAGAATGGCTCAGTGGAGTCAATTTTGGCAGGTTCTCTTTTCAAATTTCCTGTCTGCCTGGAGCAGCATAATTGGATGATGTGGAGTGTGTACCAGAGTTTTAATTTCAGATAAATGAGGAGACCAAAAGAACTTGGCTCCCTTAGCCTGGCAGAGCAGAAGTTGAAAGGACACATGTTTGTCCTCTGAAATTGTATTAGAGCGGCAAGCACAAGGGGAGAAAAGAATTACTTAATGTAAAGGACAGTGTTGGCAATGAAGCAAATAGGGAGATGTTGGCCATACATATTTAGGCTTGGAATTGGAAAATTTTTAGCCATTAGACTAAAGTTAAAAAACAGCCTTCCAGTAGGAGTTCTGAGGGGGAAAAAATCTCCCATTTTAAAAGTAATTATTCATCAGATTATGAGAAGAAGTATACACTGTTTCTTTGTGCAAAAGGAACAAATGAACTTGATGATTCAGAGTGTCCCATCCAATTCTATATGCTTGCATTCCTACTAACGAAGGGATCAGTCTTGTGCTTTAGGATAGGGTCTGAAAATCTCAATTTGTAGCTCTTCAGTAGACAGCACTTCTGTGAAGCTGTGGGGAGCTTTGCATGCAAGAAGTGAGTTACCCAACTTGCTATTTGATAAACTATTTACTAAGCTTGGGAAGGAAAAAAGAATTACTCAAAATTACTTACAGGAAATAAAGAAAATTCAAACCGTAGTTGTGTAAAAGTTAATAATATGGCCTAAGACCTCCTTCATACGTAATGGTGGTGCCATTTCTATATACCTTGGCACATCAAATTTTATTAATTTAGGATTATTAATTTCTACAGTGTTACAGATTCCTTTCAAAAATTTTAGGCATGGAGACTCCATGGTTTTTTTTTGCTACTAGTTTGAAAACAGAAAGGTTTTTTGGGTGTAATAAAATGTCTTTTCCCTTCACAGAGAAGAGGAAAAGTTGTATTTATTTTTTATTGTTAACGTCACTAAGGGCCTGATAACAAATTAACAGGAGTTACTGTTAATTTAAGAAGTCATTCAGACACTTAGGGAAGCTTTCTGTGTGGAAAATATTGCCTTATCTATTGCCTTATTTAGGTAAAAATAGGAAAAATTCACTCCAGTCCTACAGCTGTGTCTGCATCAAGCCAACTGATTGCCTTTTATAAATCTTTTCTATGTGCACTGGAGTTCTGAGAACTAATATTGGAATAAAAAACATCTTTCTCAGATGAGAATTAAATGTAAATTATTTTATAAGGGATGGAATACCACTGAGAAGTAGTATTAATAGCTTCCGCATATTAGTCCCCAGTGAACTTGTTTGATTTTTTATACAAAGAATTTGAAATAAGAAATCCCTAAATCCGTGTTGAATCCCCAAAGACCTGATTAAAAATTGTTTTTCTATTTGTTTATTAAAAAGCCCAACCAATTTACTCTTGCCATAAACATACTCTTTAATCCCATGAAACCATGATAAGCTTTTTAACTTTTATATTGTGAAGTTTTAGTTTAAGTATGCTTCCCTCACCTAATTATGCAGATTTTGATTGAAAACTGTAAGGAAGAGACTGTCTTAGTTAAGCCATTTTCTAGTTATGAGCATATTAGTTTTAATACAACAAGCTGTAGAAGTGAATCAGTATTGTATTGTTTCAGTTTGTAATGTTACATCTCCTGCCTCAGTTAAGACATAAAATTCAAAGTATATTTTAAACTGTAAAAGTAAATTTTTGATGCCTTTTGTTGGTAACAAATACGATTATAGTAAGACCGAGGGCTTTTGTCAAGAATGACTGGGAGCACTGCACAGGAGAGGCTGCATTGGATGATTATGTGGCTCCAGATTCTTAATTCATGTTTCTTATATGTTCAAAATTAAAACACATTTCTCAAAATAAAAATTGAGTTTCTGTAAGTACACCTTTTTTTTTTTAATGGAGTAATCAATAATAATAAAAATAATAAACAGTTTCTGCTTTCTTCCAATTGTTTTGAAGTAGAAAATCGCCTGTAATTTCTTTTTACAGAAAATGCAATTCAGGCTTTTGGTAATGGTACTGATGTGAATGTGTGGCAGCCGATTTTACCGGTACAGACCACAACGGCCACAACTACAACAGCTTCCAGACTTAAAAACATAGGTTCAGAGACCACCAACAATGAAATACCCACCCACAACGATTCACCAGCATGTGCAAACCTGCAGGTAAGAAAGTCTTGTAATCGTTGCAGTGCATGAAAGAAAGTTGTTCATGGAGTTGTGTGCAGTGAAGTCCTGCTGCATGAATACAAACCCGCAGTTGAGTATTTGTTTATTCCCATGTTGTAGTTACAAGCCGGATGCACTACAAAATATCAGACACTGTTTTAAATAAGAAATGCTCAGATTTCAGAATGGACTTTTTGCCTCCCTGTTACAGAAAGAAAGGGTAGTAGTAGTTAATTTGGTAGCACAGATTTGGATATGAGTGTGGTGCACTTAAATCCTGCCAGTATATTTAAATTAGTCCCCTGAGTAAACCAAGCTCAGGGAGAACTCTGAATGTTAGCTGTCATGAAATACTGTCTTTTCCAAACTTCTTTATTAGCTTACTAGCAGTAAATTTATGGGTGGGGATTTTTTGCCTCTTCCTTTTTTTTTTTTTTTGTCTGAGTAGGTGTGAGGGATGAAGAAATGGGGCAAAGATACAAACTGTTTTGGATCAGGTGTCCTCCTAAAGTGAGATCAAAGTTGTGATGTGATTTTGGCCAGTGGCTGCAGCCATTTTGTTCGTTGTTTCAATTAGCCTATTCGTGGTGTGTCACTGGATTTTAAAGAGGCTTATCAATTGCTCAAGGCAGTGATGAGTGTGCAGCCCTTAGAAAGTGAAAAATTTGGGCAGGAGAGAACTAAAATCTGGGCAGGAAACAGCATAAGATAACAAGCAAGGTAGATTAACATTCTTTTGAGGCGTTACTGACTCAAATATGCAGAATTAATAGTAAATAGTGTTGAATTCAGGAGCTTCTGTTTTAATTTGATTCTTCATATCTGTACATTCATTATTAGTTAAGGTTTGTAAGTTATTGATGAACAGAAGATAGTTGTAGGCACTACATTCCTCTATGCAGAGGCCATTTCACCAAATGAAATATGCTAAAAAGAACTGTAATCTTTTAAATCTGGAACTCAGAATATCTAGCATCTAAAGCAAAAATGACTTCAGGTATTATTAATTCACTTCATGTTATATTAAGGAGTTTTGAGATAGAGATTGCATTTTCCTTCAATTTTTGTACAGCTTCCTATATTGTAAGGCCTCCAGATGCTCCCAAAATGCACAATAAATAATGAGCTTAAGAAGTGGCAAGCGATCACAGTCTCACTGGTTTTGGTTTGATTTGCAAATGCTCTTCAAGCCTCAACAGATGTCCCAAAGTTCTGAAAACAAAAGTTGTTCCCTGTCCTCCCTACCTTACTCATGTTAGTCTGGCATTTTGAGGCCATGTTCCCCATGAGATTATTAACAGCCGTGCTGTGGCTTCAAGTGTTCCCCTGATACACTGGATGGAAGTAAAGGTCTCTAAGGAAAACAGCATCCTTTAAAGAAATGATCTGCCGTTTTGTAGAAGCTGTAGACATGTTGGTACTCAAAGGTCACCGAAGTTACATGAATCACATAGATTTATTCTTGTGAAATACAACATTCAGGTTACAACTTTTTCTGCCTCTTCTGTGTCAGAATTAAACCACGGAGAACAAAGCTCTTACATTTCAATGCATCTTTTTAAAGTAACTTGCAAAAAGTGCCAAAACAAGCCTACTTTTTTTTTTTTTTAACCTGTGTTTATTGGATGGTGTGGTGCCACTTTGCACATGAGACTTCAACCTCAGTTCACATTTTACAGAAGAACTGAAAGCATTCATATCACACTTTGAAAAGTGTATTCATTCCAAGGCTCTCCTCCTATGAAAAAATAGGCCTTTGTAGTATTTTCAAAACATGAACTCAAGCTACTGAATCTGAAGGGCTTTGTTATACACTTAGCATCTGAGCAGAAAGATTTCAGAAAGGCAATAAAGCCTAAATATTCTGAAAAGTAGAATTAGAAGCATAAGTATGGAAAGACAATGACAGAGAGGGGATAAGGATGTGATCGCTGAGATGCTACAGGGCTGAGTATCCTAGTTAGTGGATTTCAAAATGCTGTAAAGGAAGAAAGAGCAGGAAGTGATTGATTAGTATAAATTGCCATAGAAATACATACAGTAAGGGAGGAAAGAGCAGGAAGTGATTGATTAGTATAAATTGCCATAGAAATGAACAAATACTAACCTCCTGAGGTTGTAAAATACAGGGCATTAACCCAGTCTGCCAAATGTGTCACTGGCTGAGCAATTTTTATACATTTTTTCCTGACTTGTTCAGAATGGTTGTATGAAAAGCGAGAGTTCACTAATGGTTTTGTCATTCTGCCATGTACTCCTGCACACGTGCCTACTTGGAGTCTGGGATGGCTGCAAGTACTTAAAGAAAGTATGAGATACTTTTTGTTTATCTGAAGTCAGTATTTATTTCAAATACGTGCTGAAGGTTTGGACTTTAAAATCAAGAAATGGTCCTTTGTTTCAGTGTACCACTTCTACAAGAATTTACAGTTCATTATACTGATATTCTCTTACTTCCAGCTGATGCAGAGAAACGTTGATTTTTGGTATATGCTTATAATATGTTTATATATGCATGGATTTGTACACTGCATTACTTTTTTCTCTCCCTGAGTTAAATTGGCATACTGTCTTTTCCAGGAAGATGCTTAACTTCATCAAGAGTCTTTCTATAATCATGGCTTACAGCAAAGTTTTATAAATACAAATATTAAGCAGTGGCTAGCTTTATACAAAATGCCAAATTCAGCTATTTCTGAGGTGCTGTATGCCTATCAGAGTCTACAGCACTACATTAAAAATGAATAGAAGTTTTACAAAGTGAACAGAAAGGCAGAAGATGAAGGCCAGTGATGTTGTCCTTACACAAGCATATTTTTTTATCTTTTTTCAGGCAGCTGCACTCTCATATTTACTATTTAGTGACTGTATTTATTTGTTTGTCCTTCTTTCTTGGTCGTAACTGGTATGTGCCAGTCAAAAAATGATTATGGTATTCATTCTCATGTTCTGCCACCACTGCTTGAACCATCATGTTGGATTATGTGAAAAGGACAAGAGAATTACTTTGGATGTGCACTCACTCCATGTATTCTTCAAGAAAAATGCTGCTTCTGCATCTAGGAAAGATACATGGAAATGAAAAATGATACTAAAATATACTTCAGATGATAGATGAGACTAGATTAGACTACAGTCATCAGAGATAAATAAAATATTAAGGATTTCATACTGACTTTGCTATAATATTTGAATGAACATTTTGCACATGACTAAAAATGTAAGAAATCAAAGTGGCTGAGTACATTTCATTCTAATTTTCTGCATCAACTCCCTACACAAAGGCAATATACTTTGTTTTCTCATGTTTATTACAAATGTCCTGATCTAGGTAACCTTGGCTCAGCATTCTGATGGAATTTAAGGTTTTTGTGGTTTTGATTAACTGTGAGCTGTGGAACATATAACTGAGATATGTGGCCCTTCAAACTAAAGGCAAATATTTTTCGGTTGAGTCCAGCATGTCAATGTCCTTTTATTCTCAGCAGGAGATTTCCAGATTTAGGAGGTAGGATTTTAAAACCTCAAATATTTTGCAGGGAAACAGAGGAAAAGAGGAAAAATGTAGGTACTTATAAGCAAATTTTGTGGATTTGTTGTATGATTGGGGAGTGTTTATAACAGTGTGGTGTTGCATGCTGTCCATAGATTTCTCACAATTCCACATAAACTTGGGACTTGGAGAAGAATCTATTATGGCAAGCCTTTAGGACAAAAGCAAGTGACAGAATCCACAGTTCTCTGAGGAAAGCAGAAGTTAAACATGACTGAGACTGGAGATGACTGTCCTTTTAGCTTGTAGGTCTAGGTTTTGCAGATCTTCACCCCTGTGCCTGCTAATCTGGTTTTTGAAATACTGTCTACAACTATCTAATGTAGCTTTCTGTTTGCCACATATTATTATTATTACAGGCATTGTGTAGGTGTTGGGAGAGGGTTAAAAGCTTCCATGTAGTGCTGAGGATCAAGACTCAGTAGGTGTGGAGCTTCGTGTGATGATGATGGGTAGTAGGTGAGCATAAACAGGGATCATGGGCAGCATGTACAGTTTAGTTGATTAGGGAATAGTACAACTGTCAAGATGGTACTCTGAAATATAGACAAAATGAATTTCATTTATCCCCTGTGCACACCAGTCTCAGCTTGTCCATATGGCTGGTACCCTCTTTTCTATGGTCCCTCCACACCACCTGTGATCATTCAGCTTCTTTTCATTTTGTGGAAAAGCAAGTGCTGTCCTTTCAAATGCCCTGCCTATCCTTTTCCCTGGGAGACGTTGTACTTGGACCTCCAGACATTGCAGCTGCACAGAAAGTTCCAGTCTGGAGCAAAAGATGGATGAGAATATAAAACTCCCATTGCTGTGCCAGAACAAATTGGAAAAAAAAATAGAATATTGACTAAATGTTTCATATGAAAAGATTTAAATTTACTTCCTGTGTTTCCAGGATTAGCTGACATAATGGGGTCAGCTTGCTGGTAAAAGTGATTTACAGAACACCTATTGGCAGCTTTTCTTCTGAAAAAGCAGCATCTTTAATTTGCTTCAGAGGCAATTCTGCTGTACCTAAAGGAGTCTTTCATGCTTTACATGTTCAGATTAAAATCTGGCAGCTAGGGGTAGTTTAGTTTCATGTTTAATTGTTGCATCCTTCTAATCTGGACAGCACTAAACAAAATTCTGTTTCACTAAAACAGAGGCAGCTTTGTCCATTCACATTGATGTCAACAAAGTTAATCCTTATTTTCTTGAGCAGCATTTTGAATGGGGTCCTCAAAAATGTGCTCTTAGAAGCGTACAGTTCCTTGACACTGTATTCTTTTACTTCATGATTCCTGTACCTTTTGGACAGAACCCAGGAAGGTCAGGTCACTACAAGAGAGGCTCAGTTCTTGTTTCTCTGTATGCTTGTTTGGATATTCATCATTGTGAAAGTGGCCAGCAATCCACTTGCATTGCTGGCATTGCTGTACATGCAGTGTATCTCAACAGCAAA